TACACGTTCTAGTATGTGATGATCTGCAAATGTGATATTTGAGTATGATAGACCCGTTATTCTATATCAGACCCGAAGTTTTATATGCACACTCAAATTCAAACCAAAATATTATATGACCTTTATAAATGCACTTTTCTTATTGTTCTCTAAGTGTATGTTATTAAAGCTCAAACGTCAAGAACATTCACTTATAGAGTATTCCTGCAATATAAATTCTATATTGATAGCTATTTAAGGACATCCCAATGCTCAATACTAATGACACAAATATTAAAGACAAAAATTTATTCACATATGTTATGTTTAGTTAAACACACAAGGTATGTGATTTATATTGTATGATATTTTTCATAGTCACACAATTCAAATATGCATAAATCAATAATTAGACATAATTCAAGGATACATTCTTTGCTTTTATATAAACAAAATCGCAAAAATGTACATGACACTCGTGAGATGTGATTGTGTATTTGTAATCATTAGATATTCATAAACGTAGGGCAGTGACTATTATTGATAATAACACTAGTAAAAAATAAAATATAATAATACTAGGAGTATCAATATCTAAATTATATATATATATATATAGCCTTTTTGCTCTTTCAAATTATTTTATCAAATAAAAAAATAATGCTAAAGACTAAAAATAAAAATTATATAAATACCTATTTAAATAAAAATTTAGAAAACCAATACACAAAACTACCAAAAAGTCTAAAAACAGCCAACCCACTAATAGTCAATAAAAGAGTTAAAAGATATAGATGTGCTTGTTTACAATTAAAATATGCTAAACTATCATCATATTCAGCATCAGAAAGATAAGGAATATGACAATAAGGTCCATAGACCATACCAATAAATATACTAATTAGTATTGCACATAAAGCATTGCTTATAGACCACAATATTATACTCCATGGAGCGAATACTTTTGAGGAATAATCTTGAATATTATATTTTGTTTCATTTTTACTACTTTTAATTATTTCATTCCATGCTTCATAGTATGTTTTATTAATGTTAATATCACAAGAAAAAGGAATTTCAACAATATCTTTTCCAAAAGTATTTGAAGTAGAGGTAATATCAACTGCAACTTCAACTGAGCTACTTGTTTCTTGACTAGAACTGTATTAAAGATAAATTAGTTAACAATTAGAAGTTAAAATAAAATATTTTTAGTAAATATTATATTACCTTGTGTTATTATTGCAAAAAATTAATCCAATGTAAAATGGAACAAGCAATGTATATTGTATAATGCTAATAAGACAAACAAAAATATCTACTAGTGTTTTACTTCATCCATACATATATAATATCAAAAATATCTGGAATATTCAACTGCTACACCACATTTCAAACTTTATTAAATGCCTCAACAATAAATCTCTTTTTGGTATAACTACTCAAATTTGAATTCAACAACTTCAATATAATCTCTAGTCTTTTATTAGCATTTTATCTTATCACAACTCTTTTATTAATGGCCCCAATAGGTTTACTATTAATTTCAAAATAATACAACTTTTCAAACATCTAAATTGAACAGTTAATCTCAATTCAAGCACAACTATACCTTCTATAATTCAAGAGGGATCGATTACTCTTGAATCGATTTTGTCATCATATCCTAATTATGCTACTTTCAAAAAACAACTTTGTCACCATTAATACTCTTTCTTGACCAACTTATTACCACTAATAATTCTTGTCTTCTTGACTGGAAATATATTTCTCCAAGACTTAACAAAATTCCTAAAGAGAAAACTTCATAATGGTTTAAATTTTTTGAAAATTCTATTATAAACCCCCTCACAACTATTCCATTTTCTTTCAATTACAACTACCTTCTACAAATTATTATAGCTATAATACTAGTTATTTTCCAAAACATTTCAAACCTTGGCTTATTATAATACTCAATAATCAAATTGTTGTTGGCAAAGCCCATCGCCAATTTACAAATTCTGGATATATACTAGCAATGCAATCTTACAACTATTCTCTTACTATTATACTCTACTCCCAATATAATTTCAAAACCATGTCTTAATTGCCCCCTCAACTCCAATATTATTAATAATAAATACACTATTCTCATTCCACTAGCTATGCAGTTAAATTTCTTGGTAGATTTTACTCTGACAAATCAATTAATTTCAATGCAAACCTTTTTGATCTAATACACTCAGTTAAACTTCAAAATATTATTTTGGTTTCTGAACCCCCAAACCTTATTCTACAAGCCTTACAAATCTCTTTTATATTTCTAACTAATCCTGCTTCTAATACTCTTCAATATCTTGCTAATTACAATTACTACTCTATTGTCCTTATATTCTATATTGATAGACCCATTATTAACTCTGAAAACCTCCAATGATCTATAGGAATCAGTTGGCTACAGGCTAATAATAACAATATTCTTCACACATTTCATATACAAATCTTACTATGGCCATGCTCTTTTAGAGTTGAACTGCTTGCAATCTTGTCTGCTATATACACTGCTTCTAGAAATTGCAATATCCAAATCTTTACAGATTCACAATTTGTTATATCTAAATATGAAAACTTAATCCAACAACCAACTAGCTCTAACTCTTCAAAGATACCTTATTGGTCCATATAGAATATACTTCTCAATTTTACTAAATCTTACAACCAAAAAATTATTTTTTATAAAGTTAAAGTACACCATAATAATATATTTAATAACAAAGCTAATGAACTAGCTCACAACCATCTTGACATACTATTTGTTATATTTAGCTCTTACAATATTTATAACTTTTTGTATATTCTATACCTAGAAAGTTACTCCTTATACACTATAATATCCAAACTATATGCCATGCAAATATCTTCACTCTCTGGTTATCTCAAAATTATTTTCAATAATGGATACGAATTTTCTAGCATATAAACTAGGATACAACTTGGCTAAACTTTAACAACAACCAAAAAGTTTCTAACTTTGCTCATAGTTTTTAGTCCTTTATTTTTAAAACATTTAGAGTTAAACTTCTTAATGACGAACTCCCTGCACCTCATATATTGTATAAAAGAAACCCACTTTATTCTAATACTTGTCATATCTGTCATCAAACTAGTATTACATTACACTGGGCTATATGCCCATTACCTAACCCTCTTTACACACTTATTAACAATTTTTTACAACAAACTATAACTGCTAACAAACTTCAAATCTTCTTACTACAAAATAACTTTTTACACAACCAAATTATCAATCTTGCTAGTTTTCTAATACACAACCTTCCTAACAAACCTTCTATTATATCAACACTTTCTGGTTTCATTTACTTAATATTATACATACAATACATAAATTCACTACATCCACCCAAGCAACCAACTCAATCTCTATACAATTTCTTTTTCTTATCAACAAACAATTGTATTCAAATATCTGGATTCCTTATTTTAGTTCAAGACTCCAACTCTAGCCAATACAATCTCAGTTATCTCCTACACTAGCACTTCCTAATGACACACTTTCTACTTTTGACATATCTAATATTACTCTCTAAATAACTTCTTTAATTGTATTATCTTGGTATACTAACTAAATTAAATACTGTATACAACTTCATATATTTTTAATTATTTCAACTCTGAATAAGCTTTGGCTACTTTGGTAGGTTTAGACTACAAATAAATATTTAGGTTAACCGATTAGGTTTTCTAGATGTCTTTGAGTTCTTATTCTTTGCACTAGGCTTAAAATTTAAAACTTTTTTCAATTATGTAAAAAGTTTTTATTAAGTTTAATTGATAATCCTCTAGTCAACTGAAGCATGATCATAGTAAAATGTGAATCAGATTACTATATAAATTTACTATAGTGCAAATATAGTGATCACCCAAGATAAACGTTTTTTCATACTGGTAGTTAGAACATCAAAATCGGCCTGGTGGGTGCTGAGATATCTTTAAAAAACCTCTCTTTTACTATATAAATTTCTTTGCAAACAATACTATTGTTTGCAAAGAAATTTATATAGTAATAGAGAGGTTTTTTAAAGATATCTCAATACTCACCAGGCTGATTTTGACATTCTAATTACCATTAGATGTGTCTTGACAAGCTTTACAAAAGTCTCTTAAGCAAAAAAGGTGATTAACTTAGTATAAAAAAAAGTTTAACTTGGATGAACACCACATACACACTATAATAAATTTATATAGTAATCTATCATATTTTACTAAGATCATGCTTCAGTTGACTGGAGGATCATTAATTAATAAAGATACAAGCAAGGTCCCAACTTAAATATTAATATATATATATATATATATTAAAAATATTTAATTAGAGAAAAATTATTTAGCTAAAAGTATTTATTATTTTTGTTAACAAGAAATAAATATAGCCTTTTATATATATACTTATGAGAATACTATTATTATTTTACTGTTTGTAAAAAAAAATTTAATAGTAAACAATAAAAAATTTATATTGTACATAAATTTGTAATAGTGTTCTTATAGCTGAAAATACTAATTTTCAACACTGGATACACTGGCAGTATAGAACTCTAAGTAAAATAAATTAGATATAGACTACTTAAATTAGATACCAAAAGTGCATATATAGCTTGATATACTCTTAGTGTAACAGAAACAACAAGCTTCAATAAATAAATACTAAAATAGCCAATAAGGTTACTATTCAAAAAAAAATCTTCCCAATTACATATAATAGTTACAGTAACATGCTAGTAACAAATAAATATATATTATAATAGAAAACAATATAGAATAGTTAACTAAAAGTAAAATGAATTAACAACAATAAGGCAATAAGGTAGCTACTTAATTGCAATATAAAGTGTTAAAATAATAAAATTTATATATAATCTGAAGTGTATAAAAATCTCTACTAATAACACTACAAAAAATAAATTTTACCTGTTTTTTATAAAATTATAATAAGCTAAGATAAAAACTTGAGAAGTTTATTACAATATGATATAGCATACACTATTTTAACTCCTTTAAACAACTCAAGTGCCTAGTTACTAATAAAAAATATAAGCTTTAAAATTTAGAAATTTTATATTGTATATTATAAATATGAAAATTATAAAGTTCACCCATCTATCAAACACTATCATACCTCTGTATCAGTTCTCGCCTATATGGATGATACTATTTGGATTACTCAATTAAAAGAAGAACTTGACAAAATTATCGATACTGCAACTTCATTTTATAACATGGCCAATATTCAAGTCAATCCTTCTAAATCTATTCTAATATCTAAACATCCATCTGCTTCTGTTTCCTTTCTTAATCTTAACTCTCATCTATTCCAATTCATCAGCCATTGAAGTTCCTGGGCTGCTGGTTTATTATTAACAATAAGCATACACAACAAATTCAACTTATTCAAGATGAAGCTCTACAGTTACCAATACTAAAACTATTACCGATAAACAAATCACCTATATCATTATACTGTTATTATTTTTACTACTGAATATCATATTCAAAATATTGTCATTTCTTCTTCCACCTGCAACCTTATTCGGAAAAAATACTTAACTATCACCAAACACAAATCCCACCTTTCCTGTTCCATCCCTAACAGTACTATGTCTAACCACAATCTCTACAATATTTATAGTCTATGGAATATACAACTCCAACATCATTCTTAACTGTGTTAACAATACTTCAACTCTTGGCCTAACTACACGTATTAGACTTCAACAACTCAAAATAATTTTTGGTCTACTACCAATATCCTAACCCCTAATAGATAGTCCCAATAGACATACTACTACCTTTAAGATTATACAACTCTTTAACTCTTTTAGTATATCTATTCATTCTAGCCTAATATATCTTGGCCACAAACCACATCTGGTAGTAGCTATTTACTTGAAAATATTCTTTCTCATCATTCCAAATACCGTACTTTTAAACAGCAACTTCGCCACAAAAATATTCTTTTTCTTGAACAACTATGCTTTGCTAACAATAGCACATTACTTGACTGGTCTTATCTCTCTCCCAGATTACTTCATATTCTCAAAGAAAAAAAGCCTGCCTGGTTTCTCTATTTAGAAAATACTATCTTGTTACATTCCTCCTTTCGTTCTATTATTCCTTTCTTTCAACCTTCTGGACTTAACTCATTTGCCTATCAAACTAATTCAATTAACAAATCTTATAAGCCCTAGGTCCTTGCTTGTTTATAATAACAATATCATCATTGGTCAAGTTCACAAAGTCTTCTATCAATCCAATTCAATTTCTATTACTCACTAGCAACAT